GGTAAGTCGTTATGATGGGAACAGGACTGTTGCAAATAAGGACTGACTGATTTGAACATAGAACTTTGCAGAAGTTTGAGTTGCCACTCATGCCTCCATGTGGCACTCAAAGCAAGAGAAGAAAGTAAAGAGAGATTCAAAACACAGAGAGGTAATAAACAGAAATGTGAGGTGAAAAGAATAGCAATATGGAAGAACAACAGAGTTTTATTGGATATAACAACCAGTCAGGAGACCAGTCTACACCTCCCTACGTGAATGGCTGGCTGTTGGGCTTAGACTAACTGTTGTGGATTTCATTCACTGATGAAGCCATGTTTCGATTTGACCACCACCACTAACCCTCTTCCAACCTGATTCATCCTATGTCAGTCAGCTAACATTGCCGGTTGAAGAAGGCGATGGCTAGGGATGCATGCGTAACATGTCTTAACTATATATTGGTTGGTCACTCATATATACTTTACTTTACTTCGGCTATCTCCTACGGGAGGATGAGCCGGCTTCATGAACGTCTCGAATCATCGCTGCCCAGGCGCGGCAATTTGTAAGAGAGTTCATGAAGTTTCATGGGAATTTGGTACGAGTGATTTCCCCACAATCGCTCGGCCTTTTGTTTGAGAGTGCAGCTCTAGCCTTTACACAACCAAGTGTGACCTACAAGGCAGTAGGAGTGGAGTAAGGAGTCCACTATCCATTGGCAGCCGATGACCGGAGTTCGGTTCATACGCCTTTTTGAATGGGGCCAGACATCCAGGACATCCAACAAGCCCTTTGTCCATACGTCTGCCGGTGAGCTCCAGTGAGCTTCATACGCCAATCGTTGCAGGTTTGGAATCAGGGTTTAGCCATCTCCCCTAGACTGTCATCCAATGGACAGTCAACCCGGTGGAGAGCGCCAGGCATCCGCTTTCGCCCTCTCACTTTGGTGAGAAACACCTCCGCCACGTGAAGGCAGTGAGTAGGACTTCCTCAGGAGAGGCTATGTAAGACGCCCGGTCATATGGGAGCATTTCAAGAGGTGTGCGGAGGGGTGGCCAACCCGCAGCGCAAGGCACCCACCCCCGACCATCCTGAGGCTTTGGAGGCCAGATTGGTTGTGGCCAGATTGGCTTAGGCACACTGAACTTACAGCCAATTCATGTCGTGCTCTATCTATCTACCTCAGCTTTTGCAATTGACTAATATAATAAACTGTCACATGGTAAGAAGTTTGACTCGTGTAGCCTGGTACATAATGGACCTATTTACGATAACTAAGTTCAGTCAATTACTCCTTCCTTCTACTTGTCATTAGGATTGGTAGTGAACAGTATATTGTATATATACCGGAAAGTCTTCCACTGCTTTACTCACCGTAACGTGTCCTTCAATGTATTTTTCTTCCTCCTTTTGTGACTTGCTTCATTCTGATGAAGCTAATTTTGTTAAGTATACAGTAGATCTGACTGTTTCTATGCCCATTACTTCCCAGGCAGACTGTTACAAAATGTGAATGGCTTTTTATTTGAAATTAGTCAGTGATCTTTGTCCAATATATCCTGAGCCAAATCCCTCTAAATGTCAGATATTAAATGTCACTTCCAGACACTAGTATGTTCTCATGACTTTTGTTCTATAGAGGGTACTGAAGTTGAAACTAAGTCGAATATCAAATATCTTGGATTGTGTCTTGCATCTCATCATTCCTGGTCTTCCCACATTATTTTACTTTCTAGCAGGATATTTCGTTATCACCATTGTCATGTAACCGCCTACGTTAAGAAGTTAAGACAATCTTGTATCACACTCGGTCTCTACTGTTACAATTTGTTTACTCTTGCATTCTATTTATTCTTCTTTCCCTGGACTACTTAAGAAAAAAAACTTTGTTACATTGTACAGGGCACTAAAAACAGTCGGTAAGGTGAGTAGACTGTCGTTAAACCAGCTCGTTAATCCATAGGCAAGGAATTAGTGAGTATCAATCACCTTGTCGAACTCTGAGTACTCTATTTATTTATGTACAGCTTTCCCCTGGCATCTCATCAGATAAAATTAGAAGCAATTATAGAAGAATAATAAAAGAAGACAGTTACATCGAAGAGGAAAATTTTCTTTCTGACGAAATCATCAACTGGACAGCTGTACATTTGTGTATTTATAATCACAAATGTGTAGGAAAGTTCCAGAATAATTTCCGGTCAGAGGTCAAATTCATAACATTACAATTAGGAATTAAAATGCCATAATAAACAGGGGCGGGGGACGGATAAAAGTGAAACAAAGTAGCATCATAATTACTGAGAAGAAAAGTAGAAATAACAAAAATAGACAGGATGGTTGGATAAAACAAATCTAGTGGGATCATAACTAATGTGACGAATAATTGTTTATGCAATCAGGGATCAAATATGTAGAAATAATAAAATGACAAAATAGACAGGAAGTTCAGATATGAAATTATGGTAGTGTAAATAGGGATTGAAAAAAAATTCAAAGTAACATAAATAAACAGGAAGTTTGGGTAAGAAAGGCAATAGGGTAGTCAATATTAAGAGAATTACCTGTTTATAATGGCCATGGCAGGGACAATGGTTGGACGTGCTTCTTTTGGATACATAACGTGGGTTTGAGCTTTTGTATGGCTAGTGCCTCAGCTATGCCAAAATATCTTAATTTTACTCCCTTTGATAGGTTTGATCGAATCGTGTGTATTTATTTTGAGGGTTTCTTCGAATGGCACTGAATACCCTGAATTGACCAGATGTTCTGTCATTGAACTATATACACGTTTTCGTGCTCCTTTTACTAGCTAGGCTGGATAGTGTTCGCAGGCGTGTTTTCCAAGTTGGTGCATGGTACAGCGGATGTACTCAGCTGCCCACCGCCACCCATTTATTATAAATACATGAATGTGCAGCTATCTAGTTGATGACTTCGTCGAGAAGAGAATTTTCTTCACTGTAACCGTCTTTTTATTATTCCCTATGATCAAATGTGTATATTCCGTAATTATAGAAGACTTTATACTCGAACAGTTGAGTACAAAAACTCTACGATGTCTTATTTGACACACACTTCATGTGATGAGAAAGGGTGTGTTAGGCATGAAACTATTAGGTTACTGCTAAACATTAAGTAAATGGCCCATTTAATTCTTTTTATCACCTTATGTTACTTGCATTCCCGACTAACTGTGTAATGTAAAGAGAACTAATGTACTACATGCAGAGAATTCCACATTGTCTGATTCAAACGTGAATTTTATTCCCTCTACTTGTGAGTTTATATGCGTCAAGAAGCTAGAGATATGTTCTGTTTTTAACACTGTGAAAGTGTCATCCACATATCTACACCATATTACGTTTGGAGTAGGAGTAAACGTATTAAGAGCAATATTTCCCCAGCTGTACATAAATATATCTGCTACGGTAGGGGATATTATTGGTCCATCCCATTGCTACACCTGTTTGCCTATATATTTTGCCCTGGAATTTAAAGATAGTAGTCGTGAGGCATAACTGAATTCCTAAAATAATTTCTTCAATGAGTAGCTTTGTCTTATGATTGAGTTCAGGATCTGCAGTTTGTTCTTTTTTAACTGCCATATTGACTGGTATTTTGATTTGACACTAGTAACTAGTGTGATGCGTCTAGTCCTCTGATTGGTGTAGACTGAATTCTATCAGTCAGGTTGTAATGTGACCACCATTCTATCTAGCTCGCCATCACGGTGAACATTGATTTGATGGTATTAGATGGTTGGAGGCAATCGGCAGGAAGCCTTGGACCTAGGTTTCGTGCTAGTTGGCATTCGTCAGCAAGGCTTATCTGCAACCTTGAAGGAACTCATGTCCCTTCTGAGATTCGAACCCGCGGTGAATCGCGGGCCCGAATAGTTCAGTGGTAACGTCTCTGACTGCTGGACTGGGTGACGCGGGTTCAAATCTCAGAAGGGACATGAGTTCCATCAAGGTTGCAGATAAGCCTTGCTGACGAGTGCCAACTAGCACGAAACCTAGGTTCAAGGCTTCCAGCGACCACCAGTCTAACCCTATATCAGCTAACATTGCCCATTGTCGAGGAAGGCGATAATTAGGCATACATAACACATGTCTTAACCATCTCAGTCGCTGTAGCTTCACAGCCTCATCGATTAATTTCCCCTCCCGCCTACCTAGCACTCGATCTCAGCCTAACCTCAATATTGCTCACCCTATTGTGTGGTTGTGTGTTAATTCATGCTGGGCGACTGCTGAGCTTTTTTTCTAAATTACTTATCTTCGTGCGATCAATCCGTCTAGCCTTAGCTAAATTCTTATGCTCTGATAATCTTACTACTCCCTATCGACTGGTTTGACCTACGTAGTTGACCTAAATTCACAGTGATTGCAAAGTATTTTGTAAATTATATTATTTTGTTTAATTGGGTCAACCGACAGGATCCTTTAACCTACAGAGCTTGTCCTACCAGACTGAGTTTGTAGGTTTGAATGTCACTTTAATTCCTGCTTTATTGAGAATCCTACGTAGAGAGGCCATCAGATGTCCCCTCCTTATATGCACCAGCTCAAAGAACGCAACTAAATCGAAGTCTTGCTATAACGACGATTATAAAAATAATTCAGAAATAGGTAAAAATGAATAGAAGTTGATTGAATTGTGATTGTATTATAGTTACACTTCTAATAATTTACTAGACACTGGGGCTAGAGAGATCTCGAATGCCCTGGCCCTAGGTTGGGGGTGGGTTCGCTTTCTGCACTTTGGCGTGTTGAAGTCTGTGATAATCTTAAATCAAGCTCTCTCGGACCGCGTAATTTTTGCCAGTGGGGAAGATGTCTTCAGACCATCATTTCTGATCATCATACTAAGAACTACACACTATTTTATGTACTGCTTTGAATAAAGCCATTATTATTATTATCATGTGCATAGTTTTTGTCTGTTTTCTAAGTTGTTCAGTGAACTTCACGATGGCATTTTTTTAACAAAAATCTTTTATTTATGTTTGTTAGAGAATAATATAATATCAAAATGTTAAATGATTCAGTGAATTTATTTATTGAAACTAATACCGACTGTAATGCTACAGGATCAGCAACATGGGATTGTGCTGGACATCATGTCACATTTTCAATGTATGGTCCAGAAGAAGCTAAAATTACCGATGAATTGACACATCGTGCTACTGTTGATGTTACAGTAACGCCTAGAGCTGGTCTACGCACTTCAAAAGAAGCTGAACTTGAAGTCTACCTCAACAGTCTTATTGAACGTTTGATTGATGTGAAAGATTTTCCACGGTGTAAAGTTAGTTAGTCAGTTAGTTAATTAATTAATTAACATGCCTTTTTGAGTATTTAATATTTTATACAATTATTTTGCTTTGATGAAAGTGTCTGCAACAGTGATATGTATCCACATATATATATTTATGTGTGTGTGTGCATGTTGGTCTCTCTTTCTGTTTGCTCGGTTAGTCTGTGACCACTTCACTTGTATGGACTTGTCTCCTTTAATAATGTGTATTCTCCTTATATTATATTATATATAATATGAGTGTTTGTTGACAGTCCGTTGCTTGGTGACATATATCCATATATGTTTGTTGGCATGTCTGCTATATTCGCTATGTATAATTGGATCGACACTCCATTATAATTAGCCATTCATGTTAAGACTGTCTAATGATTTTTCCCACGCTTGTCTGAATTATTTATATATATTCGCATTCACAATTTGTGTGAACTACTTTACTTTACAACTACTTGACTTGCTTACCACTTTGGTGTGAGACCATTTATTTTCGTCTCCTTGTGTTTGGACAATAGAAGTATCATCGCAAACCTAGTGGTCTTCTGATTTCCGCCTTCTCGCGTCAGGACTATTAGTTTCTCGACCAGTCCATAACAATAATTTAGCGACGAGTACATAACAATTTGGCGACGGGGAAGTACATAACAATTTGGCGACGGGGAAACTAGAACATAACAATTTGGCGACGGGGAAAAACTACTATTAACCACACAGCAGCAACAACATAACAATTTACTATGGATCCTATTAAATTGGAATTATTGTTTGAACGACAAATGAAATTAATGGAAATGTTCGTCAACCAACAGACTGGTCCAGCTCCACCTTCAAGCAATCCCAATCATACCATGCTACCATCTGTCGACGGAATTGTGAACAGCATTTCACAGTTCAATTATGACCCAGAGGCTAATGTCACTTTTGACACATGGTATCAACGTTATGAGGATTTATTCACTGTTGATCTCGCCTCACAAGACGATGCCTGGAAGGTGCGAGTTTTGCTACGTAAATTGGGTCCGGCAGAATATGAACGGTACTGCAACCTAATTTTACCACAGAAACCACGTGACAATTGTTTCGATGATACAATAAAGTTGCTGCGTGAACATTTCGGAGACCACTCCTCATTATTCAGTATACGTTATCGTTGCCTCAAGCTGGCAATGAATGAAAATGATGATTTTCTTACTCACGTTGGCACAGTCAACCGAGAATGTGAGAGATTTCGACTCAGGTCCTTAACAGATGATCAGTTCAAAGCCTTGATTCTCATATGCAGTCTCCAATCTCCTCGTTTCACAGATATCCGAACTCGACTGCTCAATCAGCTAGAACAAAATCCCAAGTTAACATTACATGACATAGCTGATGAATATCAACGGCTGATTAATCTGCAGAAAGACACACACTTGGTCGAATCAACACCTCCGAGAAGCTCTGATATTCGTGCATTACGCAAGAGCAAAAATCTCTCATCAGCTACTCCTGACCCACCTACTTCTCCTAATGTTCCGCGGAAATCTATACATACTCGTCCAACTTCACAAAATACTGCAAAGAAGACCCCACCATCACCATGCTGGCATTGTGGCGCGTGGCACTTTGTAAAGTCTTGTCCATACAAAAATCATCGTTGCAGCAAGTGCAAGATCATCGGTCACAAAAATGGTTTTTGTCAGCCACGCAAACCCAGATATCAAAATCCAGCAAAAGCTCAACAAAATGTTGGTCCTAAATCCCCCAAAAAGTCATTGAGTCTACGCGCAACCCGTCAAGTCACAACACCAGCTATGCGGAAATATCTTGACCTTCAGATGAATGGTCATGATGCACGTCTGCAGCTAGATACTGCCTCTGATATTACTGTTATATCAGAGAAACTTTGGAATTATATTGGCAGACCACCTATCACCAATACTTCCCAGTCTCTTGTCAGCGCCTGTGGTGGGCGGCTCAAACTAATTGGTGAACTCAAATGTTCTGTTTCCTTCCGCAATACCAAATTCACAGGAATTTGTTACGTCACGAAGAATGATTTAAATGTTTTGGGACTTGATTGGTTCGATCGTTTGCATCTGGCTGATGTCCCACTAAATTCTCTACGCAATACAGTGAAGAAGCATAAAATGCTAGACAATTCCGGACGGAGCCGAAGCCGCAAACCCAACAATCAGACGAAACGACAGGCGTCAACAACAAGCCCAAAGGTCCCAGATAAACCCCCAGGTAAACATCCTACTAATCATCCATCTTCTCAAAAGGGGAGGTGATATGTATCCACATATATATATTTATGTGTGTGTGTGCATGTTGGTCTCTCTTTCTGTTTGCTCGGTTAGTCTGTGACCACTTCACTTGTATGGACTTGTCTCCTTTAATAATGTGTATTCTCCTTATATTATATTATATATAATATGAGTGTTTGTTGACAGTCCGTTGCTTGGTGACATATATCCATATATGTTTGTTGGCATGTCTGCTATATTCGCTATGTATAATTGGATCGACACTCCATTATAATTAGCCATTCATGTTAAGACTGTCTAATGATTTTTCCCACGCTTGTCTGAATTATTTATATATATTCGCATTCACAATTTGTGTGAACTACTTTACTTTACAACTACTTGACTTACTTACCACTTTGGTGTGAGACCATTTATTTTCGTCTCCTTGTGTTTGGACAATAGAAGTATCATCGCAAACCTAGTGGTCTTCTGATTTCCGCCTTCTCGCGTCAGGACTATTAGTTTCTCGACCAGTCCATAACAATAATTTAGCGACGAGTACATAACAAACAGGCTGTTGAAAATCCTTTTCGTTGATACGCTAGGCAAGTTTCTGACCTATATAGAAGTATAACTACAGGAGATAAGGGCCAGGCAACAAATCGTTTATTAAGCAAATTAACATTGTACATTATAACAGATTATTGTTAGCAGACAAACACAGTCTTGTGATTGATGGTTGTTTCTCACTGAAAGTTCATCTTTCATCTCTTTGTGGCTGTTTCGTGAACGTCAGATCATCTATCCTGCTAATTATATCCGCCTACGCAAAGTCTGCTGTGATTGATTGTTGAGTCAGTCGTCTTTGTTTTTGTTTTCACATGACCAATATTGAGGCCATAAACATTGACGTAAATTACTGTCTACCAATTTTGGTTAGCAGTCAGCTCTCATCACAAAAGGACCTATTTGACATTGGTGTTGAAAATCTGAATCTTGTTACCTATGCTTAGTGCAGAAGATTTCCAAACTGGTTTCACGTTGATAAAGGCGTATCTTGAAGATGTCAATGTCTCAGCCAGAATCGGAAAGGTAAGATACGCCTTCATCAACTTGAAACCAGTCTGGAAGTTTTCTGCACTAACTCAGCCTGCATAAAGAACAAGATTCGGATTCTATTGAATACCAATGTCAAGTCAGTCCTTCTATACGTGTCAGTAAGTAGCAATGTTTATATTGAAGTGGAGAATCCGGATCTCATTTTTGATGCTGAGTGCTGTTGACCTCCACACAGACTTGAGAGTAATGAAAACTTGTCTTGCTTTCCCGATTCTTGCTTTGATATCCTCGTCAGTTCCGTCTGCCTGTAGTCGAAATGATGCTTCCCAAGTGGGGTAGGTGGGTGAAGGAGGTTGTTTCTTTCAGGTTCCTCCCATTTATGCTGGCTGATTGTTGTCTGTTGTTGTTGTTGTTGCTGTTGGTGTTGGCCAGGAATCTTCATCACCTCTGTTTTATCTATGTTCACCTGAAGTCCTATCTTCTCTGTATGCTTCTTTCTCTGCCAGCTTGTTGCTTTTCACTTGCATATCTTCCAGTTTGTGGGAAATCAGACATATATATCATCGGCGAAGTCCAGATCCTCCAAGTTTTTTGTGTGGGTCCATTTTATGCCTGTTTCCTCGCTGCCCACTGTCTGTCGCATTATCCAATCTACCGCTGGCAATCAGGAAAATCATTGGCGATAGTAGACAGCCAGCTTGTCTTACTCCCGTCTTCACTTCCTCGAAGGCTTCTGTTGAGTTTCCTGTTGTGGATTACTTGGTATGCAGCGTTGTCGTACAACTGTTGGATGAGATGCATAATTGTCGGCGGCACCCTGTAGTTGCCAAATTACTCCTCGATCGACGCTGTCGAATGCCTTTTCAAAGTCGATGAAGTTGAGCGAGATAGACAGGTGATTGCCATTTCAAGTTGGTGGTTGGCTGCATAGTGAAGATCAAATGACCAGGAAGAATTAGTAACAAAAAAAAACTCTGGCTGGAGCGAACCAACAAGCAAGATCCGATCGCTCAACAAATATGTAGGCGAAAATGGAGGCGGATGAATCGGGCATACATTCAAGAAACCGTCGAATGACATCGCACTCAAGCCACGCCATCACTCAAGTGGAATCCAAATGGGAAGCAATGTCTGTGTCGTCGTCAGTGCGAGGGTGACATGCAGGAGACTGTGTGTGTTGGGGAGAAGGAGGAGATGAGAGATTATGGTCAATCGTGAACGACCCAGCTGAAGAGGATGGCAGAAAACAGAGCAAAGTGGAGATGTATTGTTGAAGCGAGCCGTCTGTTCCACCAATGGGAACCCATGGGAATAATAATATATATAATTTAATTTCCTTTTGTTCGGATACTTTAATAGTTGTTTAGTATACTGGTGACAGATATTAATATCGCGTGAATAAATGGCATAATGGAAGGGAGCAGGATAAATGTTGTTGCTTTGATTATACATTAGGCAGTAGTAGTAGTAGTAAGTAGCACGTGTCATGCGTCGTCTAGTCTCCTTCGTCTTTAGTACAGACTGACTTCTCAAATCAGTCAAGCTTGCAATATATATGGTCATCAGGCTGCTAGGTGGTTCACCGTCACGGTGCGGCGGTGCACTCTAAATTGTTGTTTTTAAGATAAGTTGGAGGTGTAATCGACAGGAAGCCCTCGACCTGAGTTTTGGTGCTTTTTTCCATTAGTTAGTTAGCCAAGGCATAGCTGCAATATTGAGACTTGAAACTGGACCTCCTCCATTCATCCTAACAACAATTCAGAGTGCATTGTGATGGTGAGCCAGCCAGCCACCTAGTAGCATGATGGCCACATTGCAAAACTTGACTGTTATGAAAATTCAAGAACTAAGCGCGCATGATATTAGCCTCCGATCAGAATATCCATTACAGTTCTAAAAGAGGTCAATCGAGAACCTGAATAGCCTAATGATAAAGCGTCTGACTACAGCACTCACTGGGTGACATCGGTTAGAATGGGGATAGATACCCCATTCTGTGACAAACATGACAGGGCTTCCTGTCTGAATACCTGCATCGATCCATCCAAAGTCAGTCTCAATGGTTGAGTTCTCAACTAGGCAAGAAACTTGTGTAACATGAAAGCCCTAGGTTCGATCTCCGGTAGGGTGGGGCATGGAAGTGTACCACTGAAGAGTTCATTGTCTTGGGGGACGAAACAGCTGTCCAATACCCCCTCTCGTGGTTTGGGGTTTGACCCCCCAACCGACAGACTCCTAAACTTCATTCATCTGGTAGTGTGAGCCTAGTAAAGAGTGAAGACTGGGCTAATGTCCCCCCCCTCCAACCAACAACAAAAGCTGAAGCTTAAAGGCCTATGTTTCACTTGAAACTCAAAGGTCGTCGTGCTTCTAGACGTTTATGAGCAATACAATGCATACTTACTTACTTTACTTCGGCTATCTCCTACGGGAGGATGAGTCGGCTTCATGAACCATGAGGTTTCATGGGAATTTGGTACGAGTGATGTCCCCAGCATCGCTCGGCCTTTGTTTGAGAGTGCAGCTCTAGCCTTTACACAACCAAGTGTGACCTACAAGGCAGTAGGAGTGGAGTAAGGAGTCCACTATCCATTGTCAGCCGGTGACCGGAGTCCGGTTCATTCGCCTTTTTGAATGGGGCCAGTCATCCAGGGCATCCAATAAGCCCTTTGTCCATACGTCTGCCGGTGAGATTCATACGCCAGTCGTTGGAGGTTTGGAATCAGGGTTTAGGCATCTCCCCTAGACTGTCATCCAATGGACAGTCAACCCGGTGAAGAGCGCCGGGCATCCGCTTTTGCCCTCTCACTTTGGTGAAAAACACCTCCGCCACGTGAAGGCAGTGAGTAGGACTTCCTCAGGAGAGGCTATGTAAGACGTCCGGTCATATGGGAGCATTCCAAGAGGTGTACGGAGGGGTGGCCGACCCGCAGCGCAAGACACCCACCCCCGACCATCCTGAGGCTTTGGAGCAATACAATGCATAGATAGGGTTGTATGCTAGAATCACTTTTACTTTATGTAGTTCATCTCCTCCCTAATCTGATTTCGTCTTTTCTTTCTTTGTATTTTTTTGTAGTTCATAGGACGTTTGTATATTGTCTCTGGTCAAACAAATGATTGTAGAACAGTAGCAGCCGCCATAAATGCTATTTCGCTTTCTCTCCTTGTATCACATATACCGTTAAGAGCAACGATAGCAGCAATATGTCATACAATTCAGAATACAAGTACGTAAGTGTAAGCGAGCGAGTGAGCTAGCAAGCAAGCAAGAGTATGTCTTTCTTTTGTCTCTTTTGCATGATAATTATCGAATTCTCTATCATATCTGTGTTTTTATTGTCTTCTATTCAGTGAGCAGATGTGGTGGGTGTCAAACTTTTCATTGCAACACTTAGTTGGGAATTAGTGTGTGTCTAAGTTCCTTTTGTTTGTCGCAGACTAAATTCTATTAGTCAGTCAGGTGTTTGCAATGTGACCATCATGCAACTAGGTGGCTCGCCATCACGGTGCACTTTGAATTTTTGGTATTCGATGGTTGGAGGCAATTGGCAGGAAGCTTTGCCCCTGACCTTACACAGCCCAGACCAATACTCACTAATTTAAGAGTTATTATATATATATATATATATATATATATATATATATATATATATATATATAGGGCTTCCATAGGCTCTTTTAATACGAATCAAAACCTTTCTGAAGAACCTTGATCCTGTCACAGTCAACCTTGTGTCCCGTTTCTATCGGGTGTGTAGTCAATCGCCTATCCTGTTTTCTAGTTTCTTCAAATCTGCAGCGGTAGTATTTGGAACCACCATTAGACATTTTTGTTTGATGCACATTCACTATTGTATTTGCCTGTCTGGAAGTTTCTCCTACATACACTCGGCACCACAATCCCCACAAGTGGTGATTTGGTACACGTAATTTCGGACCACCAGTTTTCTGAATGAAACGGGAGTAGTTATTTTAATTCCGCTGAGATTTTACAGATATACTTTTTTCTTACACATGTCTATTGCTCACTCGGTGCCCAATTATGTTGGAACTATTCGATCAAATCTTGATCACAATTCATATGAATTATTTTGCAATCACTGGTATTAAAACCTGCAAACGAACTCAGGTTGGACAATCTCTGTAGGCTAAAAGGTGCGGTGGACCCAATTAAACAAAATTATATAATTTACAAAATACCCTGCTACGGCTGTGAGTTAGTTCAACTACATAGGCCAGTCAAACTAGTAAATCGGGGTAATCAGATTGGCGGGACATAAGAATTTAGCTAGGGGAAGAATGGTTGACCCTACCCGAGAAGATAAATAATGTAGAAAAAAGCCCACCAATCGCACTGCATGCATTAACACACAACCACACAATACCATGGTGGGAGAGGGTTAAGATTCTAAGAAGTAATCTATGTAGGTGGAGAGAGAGAGAGAGAGAGATTGATTACTGAATCCTGCCTGGTTCATCGAGTGAATCTACACCCAACACAACACATGCAACAGAAATGACTCAATGCAGATACCAGAAATATGGAAGATATTATCACCACCAGTCAGTCAGTCAGTTAAATCAGAGGAGGATAATAAATAATCTTAAAATGTATTTCAATTCACGTACATCACAACATTCGAACAAGTTACTCACTTATTTTAATTGAAGTTTTTGATTTTCCCGCCTCTATGGGAACATCATCACTCACTGAGAAATGCAGTTACATTCAGATGGCGAGTCCCAAATAGGACGAAATGCGCTTTATCCTGGATTCCACTGCTAGTCACCATCCACTAACTAAGCTACTTATTATGACTAAAAAGAGAAAACACTTGTCTTATTTCCCATCTGATTGTATTTCATTGATGATAACACTCATTATTTCTGAATGTACGTTGTCCTATAATGATTCTATTCAAATATCTAGTCATTTCCACACATGTATATAAATGAAGGAAAAAAGTTGTGTGAGTGAGTGACTTAATATGATTATGAGTGGCAATAGTTTGTGCTCGAAACATGGTTATCATCAGTTAATATTACTGTATAGCGAACACTGTGTGATTCAATCAAAATAAAATCTTATCCATAATGAAGTTATACTCCACCACCACAGTGCCTAAGTTTCATACTTATATCAATAATCGGATGTAGAGATGTTGGGGAGGGATGTAAAATTAATAGAATGATTAAAGCCAGTAAGAAATTAAAAGATTAATAGAGAGGAGACCAGTAGTTATATATATATATATATATATATATATATATATATATATATATATATATATGGCTATTCTGTATGCATGTGTACATTAAATTTGTCAAACGAAAATACAAATATAGCAAGTTTTTGGTAGAGTTAAGTAAATACAAAAAGCGTTCAGAGGAATTGACTGTTGATATAAGAGGAGAGTAACAAAACTGATGACTTGTCACAAACGATTGTTAAAGAAGAGTTGTGTAATAACATGAATAGTTTGATGAAAGAATTGTGCTCACGGTGTACATGGAAACAAAAATAAAATATGGAGCTACGTAAGACTTTTAAGGGGTTAGAAAAAGAAAAACAAGCAAAAGTTACATCAAATTATCAGAGTTGTTTTAGCATGGTAGTATAAAGGTAGCTGAATAATAATTTTCTTTTGTATGCATACTTTTGGTTCTTTTATAACTGCAAAACAGAATTGATTTAGAATGACAAGTAGAACGAATGAAATAATACCGGGAACAGCTCAGAATGAGAATAGTAATAGTAACAGGTGACATTGCAATAAAGGATGAGTATACAAATTGAAATGACAAAACGAAAAATTGGTAGAGCCAAAATATGATTAAGGATTATCATACTTTAGCATAGAGGGATTAAGACCATGGAATGAAAGTTGGAGGGGTTGAAAGAACCCCTTTTTTTCTACATACAGAGATCTGGCTTTTCTGTTTCGATAGTCAAGGCGTCAACAATACAGATGAGTTGGGTACGTAGTGATTTGGGTAAATTACTTTTTCCCTTGTAGATGACTTTAAAGGTGGAGGCTGTAGAGATAAGGAGATCATTATCGACCAGATGTTCTGTCCAGTGATCCTGCTTCTTGTAGCTCCATTTCAACGTCTTCACAACCATGCAGGACAGTGTTCTTATACGACCGATATATCTAGCTTCACATGAGCAGGTGAATTGATAAACACACTTTAGAGTTAGTCAACTGGGGGATCTTGTCCTTCAGGTTATTGGACAGTAAAGGTTGACGGGAAAACGCTATTCTCAACCATGCAGCAGGGAATGTCCTTTTCAGGGACTGTGAGATTCTTCTTGTAATGTATGCTGTTCCTCTATTACGCCTATTGTTTATTGTTACTATTACTATTCTCACTTTAAGTTGCCCCGGGTCTTATTTCACTTGTCATTCTAAATCAATTTTGTTTTGTTACGCTAAATTCTATGTTATAGAATTTCACACAATGTTACATAACGTGACGTTTTACTTTTTACTCCATTATGGATAAGATTTTATTTTGCTAAGTCACACAGTGTTACATAGTAATATTAAATGACGATCACGTTTCGAGCACAAATTATTGCTCGTAATCACATCAAGTCACTCACACAACTTTTTACTTCATTCGTATACATGTGTGGAATTGACTACATATTGGAATAAAATCAATATAACATAATGTACATTCAGAAAAAATAATATTATTAGTGTTATTGATCAATTACAATCAGATGGGAAATGAAACGAGTGTTTTTGTAGTCAAAATAAGTGAGTAACTTGTTCGAATGTTGTGATGTACGTGAATTGAAATACATTTTAAGATTATTTATTATCCTCCTCTGATTTAACTGACTGACTGACTGGTGGTAATAATATCTTCCATGCATATCTCTGGCATTTGCATTGAGTCACTTCTATTGTGCATGTGTTGGGTGTAGATTCACTCGATGAACCAGATAGGATTCAGTAATCAATCTCTCTCTCTCTCTCTCTCCATCTACATAGATTACTTCTTAGAATCTTAAGCCTCTCCCACCATGGTATTGTGTGGTTGTGTGTTAATGCATGCAGTGCAATTGTTGAGCTTTTTTCTAAATTACTTATCTTCACTGATGGGGTCAACCATTCTTCCCCTAGCTAAATTCTTATGTTCCGACAATCTGATTACCCCTGATCTACTATTTTGACCAATATAGTTGACCTAACTCACAGTCATTGCGAGGTATTTTGTAAATTATATAATTTTGTTTAATTCGGTCTGCCGGGTCCTTCAGTCTACAGAGATTGTCCAACCTGAGTGAGTTTGTAGGTTTGAATGCTACCCTAATTCCTGCTTTATTAAGAATCCTACGTAGGATGTTTCTCAGATGTCCCCTCCTTATATGGTATAACAGTAGATGCCTTATATTCTCTTCTATCATTGCACACCCCTTCCAAGTTCTGTACAGAAAAGTATTTCGAAGACATTTGTGTATTGATTTGGTTGTTGATCTGATCAAAGTTGTCGACCAGATTAATCTAGGATACTTGCATTTGCTGTAATCTGGATATTTATGATTGTATTCAATTTTTTAAAATTAAAAATGTAATCCGTACTCATTCGATTGTTCATAAGCGTATAATAAAAATCATGCGTCTACTCTTTTCTGTTGATTCTGATGGAATTTTACCGGTCAAGTAAGTACCTAGCTATGTGACTTGTCATCCCAGTGCACTTTGAATTGATTTAAGATGATGGTTGAAAATAATCGGAGGGAAGTCTTGACTCCAGGGTTTTGACGCCTATTGGTGCCTACCTCTTCAGCACGATGTATGTGCAACTTTAAAAGAACTTGTGTGCCCTATCACTGGAGATTCTAAACCCACGTCACCCAGTTATGCTGTCAGAGACGCTATCACTGAGCTGTTTGGCTTCAACCACACACACACATTAAATCTAGGTTCAAAGCTTCCTGCTGACAGACTGTCTTCAACCATCCAGCATGCATACACATTTTAAGGAGTGAATTTGTAGGTAATTGATTTGTTCCAGGTTTAATGACAGACTGATATCAGTTATAGAACCATTGAAAACCAGTAGGTACTACTGGACGATGGGGTTCGAACCCAGGAGCTTCTGGACAGAGTTGCTTGCACTTTTAGTGATTAGTCATGACCAGTGGTGTCCGCTAGTTCGTGAGATTACTGACTGATGCCCAAGCTAAAGAGTCATGAATTTATTCTCCTTTTCTCTAGCATTCTCTACACCAGCACTTTGTAATGAATTTGTCATTGTTTAAATCACCGAAAATACCCATTGAGTCATGAAGAAAATAAAAGAGAGATTCAGCGAAGAAAATTTTCATTATCGACGAAATCATCTTCAGAGGCTGACTGTACAGTCGTATTTACATTTACCAAAAATGTATAGTAATCTATTACTGAGTAATAGGGGCTGACATAATTGATATAATTACTCAGAAGTGGCTTTAGAAGTGAAAATTAAGAGTTGTAAATTACGTGGTACTCAATGATGGCACAAAGATAGAAGTTTGATAAGGTTAAAATTGCTCTTGAGTGACTATAAAGGTATTTGAGTGTCAATTTAAAAAGTGTGAAGAGGGTGTGAAAATGTACAAAAGGAGCATATGAGATTGATAATAGTGAATTAATTATTAAAGCAAAAGGAAACTAAAAGTAAAATTAAAGATTAAGAACAAAAGAAAAAATCAAAAATATTTTACAGGGAACGATAAGTGAAGAGGTTAAGACCAAGGTGGAATAAGAGGCTGGACAAACTTATTCTGTATACAGATTTCAGGGTTGTATTGATGAATGGCCAGCGCCTCCGCCATACACAAATGCCGAAACCTGACTCCCTTTGTACCATTTGGTTTCACTTTGTAGATGATGTTGAAAGACGACCCCGGTGGAGCTACGTGACCTGAGTTCACCAAATGCTCGAGAATTGAGCTAGTAACTAATTGTCTTACATTGTCCCTTTGCTAACCATGCCGGATAATGTTCAGAGATGCGTTTGGAAAGTGTGCGGTCGCTTTGTGTGGGCGGCCAAATATAACTGTCTCTTTTGTTTGGTGTGTCTCAGTAGCATACTTATCACTCCTGCCCTGTGACACGGCAGCAGGAAGCGCGGTCGTTGTTAATCCGGGCCACGGCCGATCCGGCATGAAATTTTGTGAATTTGTTTGAATCATGGTATTGGATAGGGTAGCTGCTTTTTGTTTAACCGCTATCCAAACAACCTGCCTGGCATGGTAGAACCTCAAGAGACATAAGTCTCAGCCAGTATAGCTTGTTCAGGTCATTGCGGTGTTCAAGCCCGACCACCATGTCAAGGTAGCAGCTTTCGGTCGGGTAGCAGCTTTCGGTCGGGATATAACTAGCTCCACACGAGCAGGTGAATTTATAAACACACATTGAGGTGGCCCGTCCAAAGCAGCAGTTTATCCTTCACACATCCATTGATCATTCGTCAGCTGTAGAAATTGATATACGTAGCTCGGCCATAAAGAAGGCTTTCCTCAGTGTGATTTGTATAATCGATTCTTCAGGATCTCAGCTGAGGTATCACCTTTAAATTCAACACTCATAAATAGCAGTTTCTTCGGGACCGCCGTCTGGATTCTTTCAGAATTTTCCCTTAACTTCATGTTTTTCTCGATAAATCTTGAAGGATATCCATTCTCTATGAGAACTTGTCTGAGTCTCCCCAGTTCCCTATCGATTGTATCACTTGAACATATTCTCCTTATTCTTGAGGATAAGGAATGGATGAGATTTCTCTTTCTTCTCAAAGGGACCCGACTCTGGAAATTTGTGTACTGACCATTCCATGTTGGTTTCGTGTAAATTGATCTTTGAAGAGGAGAACCACCAGATCTCCTTTTTAGAAAAACATCCAAGAAATGGAATTCCGAGTTAATCTGTGATTCCGACGTGAACTGGATGGCATGATGGCAACTGTTGAACTCTTTAGTTATCAATTCAATGTCGGTATTGTCGTCGTCACATATCATGAAAGTGTCATCCATGTATCTTTGGTACAAACGGAAACTATCGATAGTAGGCCGTGTCTGTGTTGAGGACAATTATTTGCCCGATGAGATACTGGCTGATGCTTAAGCTAAGGAGTCATGAATTTATTCTAGCATTTGTCTAGCCTTCTGTACATTAACACTGTGAAATGAATGTTTGATTGTTTAACTTATGTATGTATGCATTTCCTTTTACTTTGTTTCTCCTTTTTTTCTTTTATCTTTGGCTGATCGATGGATCAGTGATCACATTTGCAATCGATGTTACTCATCCAAAATTATTTATGAAAAAACAAAAAACTGCCTATTCAAATGAACCGAGTATCTTTTCAATATATACTGGTCAACAATGTCAGATTGTTGGTATTGGTGGAGTAGATAAGACGAGTGACAATTGCGATGAACATCCTCCCCCAGTTGGTATACCCGTTGAAAAGCTACTTCAAGTTATACAAATGCCAACATCACTGCATAATAATAATAATAATAATTCTGATGAATCGTCAAAGAAGACATCATATGGTGGTGATTGTGGCGGTGGTGATCCTGGTGATGGAAATAATATTTATAAACAAACATTGAATGTACTTGATGCAATGGTTTCACAGATCATCTCTAGTTCACATATATATTAAAAATTTCTAATATATGTACATATAAATATATATATTTTTTGTTATTGATTGATGTGTTGTTTTTCGATAAGATTTCTGACTATCGCGTTACAAATCTGAGTGCCAGTTAAAATAGAGCATGGTTAGAGAAAGTCTGGTACAGGGGATTACGTTTTACTTCCCCGTGTATTAATATGATTGGCTATTTGACAGTGAGAGATAGTGGAGGTTGATAAAGGATAGAGAGGGCTAATTTCTCATATTCTAGTTTACGCCGTCTCTGGCTTTGTAGACGTGATATCCGGCTGGCTGGCTATCGACCAAAGGGCGGGTGTACTGGTCATCAGTCCGCTCCGTCCTCCTTTTTGGCTGCTAGTGAGACATGGTCATTGAGAGTGGGAGATATGAAAAGGCCAGTTAGCTGTCTTTGATCACAGGTGCCTGTGTTCTATCTCCTGTGTGTGTTAAGTGGGATAATAAGGCGAGCAATATTGAGGTTAGGCATCAATCGAGTGCTAGGTAGGTAGGAGGGGAAATCAATTGACGAGGTTGTGAAGTTACAAAGACTGAGATGGTTAGGACATGCGTTGCGTATGCCTAGTCAAACCAACCTAGTTGATGACTTCGTGGAGAAGGGAACTTTCTTCGCTGTAACTGTCTTTTCACTATTTCCTATGATCAAATGTTTATATTCCGTAATTGTAGAAGACTTTATGCTTGGACGGTTGAGTATAAAAACTCTACGATGCCTTATTTGACACACACTTCATGTGATGAGAAAGGGTGTGTTAGGCATGAAACTATTAGCTTACTGCTAAACATTAAGTAAATGGCCGCTTTGATTTTTTTCTGTCATTCATATATATTTATTGTTGTCACTATTTCTATTCAGCCTTCCATTTGTATTATTACTTATTATTAGTGTAAATGTTCTGTTAATTGTTTCCTCGACTTACTATGTAATGCCTAGAGAAAATTAAATGTAACATACTGTACTACAGGCTGGGGATTCTACATTGTATCAAATGTACTGTTTTGAATAGAGCCGTAATGTTTATTATTAAACGTGAGGTATAAACTGCGCCTCTGCGTGTTGTAACTTTCTCTAATGTAAAATTTTTATTCCTAATATTAAATGGATAAGCTTTTAATCAAAGAACTTTTGCTGTAATGGGGGAGATTTGCAGCTCGGGTGGATGATTTGATTTCGTTATATCCTCTGAGCTGATTGATTTAATTGTGAAACTTTCACACTGTCCTTCTTTCTAGACAACATCTTCATTACAGGTTTTTACAGTAAAATGAACTAATTTGAATTCTCCATGAACGGTGATATAAGTTGTATCTCCTAATAATGTAACAATTTTAAACAGAGTACCAAAAATGCAGTCAGGAAATTTCTAGAAGCTTGGTACACAGGAGAATCAGCGATTAACGTACACGCATACACACACACACACGATACCATAGATCAAATTTATGAACTAATAAAAAAAATTTGAATACAATAATTAGTCATCTAATACAGTGATCTCAACTCACTGGCTATAGACCAAAGGGCGGGTGTACTGCTCATCAGTCCGCTCCGTCCTCCTTTATGGTTGTGAGACTGGCCACTGAGAGTGGAAGACATGAAAAGACTAGCTGTCTTTGATCATAGGTGCCTGCGCTCTATTTCCCGTGTAAAGTGGCATTGAGGTTAGGCGTCGAGTTCTAGGTAAACAGGGGAAATCAATCGACGAAGTCGTGAAGCTACAAAGACTGAGATGGTTAGGACATGTGTTACGTATGCCAAGCCATCGCCTCCCTCGATGAGCAATGTTAGCGGATATAGGGTCAGGCTGGAAAAAAGCTAGCGGCGGTCAAACAAAAACTTGGCTTCACCAGTCAATGAAATCCACAACAGTTGGTCTAAGCCACGTAGGAAGGTGTAGACTTCCAGGCTGGGGTTCTCGGGACGGTAAAAGCAAATGGTTGGAAACAATTGGTGACATGGCTCAAAATCGTTCTCAGTGGCGCAGATGCATCCACTTCTTGTGACTTATGATCTCCAATGAAACTGTTTTGTTCTTCGTTATTACTCCTCCTTTGTCTCACACCTCTGCTCACTGTTTCTATTATGCTTTTCTTGTCCTTTCTTCTCTTGCTTCGCGTGCTACACGGAGTGTGGCGACTTGAACTTCCGCAAATTTGTGCGAAGTTCTATGTCGAAAACAGACAGACAGACAACTCACTGAACAAATCTTAATCTCATAAACTGGAACCGCTTTTGTTTTTTTGAGTTGCTATGTGAACCTACAAGTTAACATTGTTCTGTTAATTAATTTTTCTCTGTTTTCTGTCCTACCCCTCCTCCTCTTTTCAACTTTAAAAGCGTATAAATTGATGATGAAAACTTAAACTAAAAATTGTAATGCTGCTTACATTTTGGATGTGTCAATTTTATAGTATCTTTTCTCTACTACCACTTAAACATTAAAGTATGTTATTATCATCTATATATAACCATTGTAATTTGAGGTAGTGGTGTACAGCTGAGGAGAACCTGTGAAGTAGAATGACGATATCACATTTTATACTGCAAATTTCATCTTCCTTTCTTTATTAAAATAGGATGGTCAGAGAAAGTCTGGTAGAGGGGATTACGTCTTACTTCTCCATGTGTTAATATGACTGGCTATTTGATGGTGCGAGAGAAAGAGAGAGGGTGGAGCACTATCTAAAGAAATCACCGATCGTTGTATCGAATCAGCCTAGTGACCTATTGCCTAACAAATATACCGAAACGAAAATGGAGATGGATTAAGCCTATGAGGGACATTATGCGCCAGCCAGATCATCGAGTGGGACTCGAATGGGTGACGACAAGTTGGGTGTGATCTTGAGGATGACATGGAGTAAGAGATGAAAGCCTATGGGAAATCGTAGAATCTTTCAAAAAAATGGATACTGAACAAATAGTACTCTTTTCGATAACCCCTTCATCATCAGGCTCTACAGTTATATGCATACATTATAGTGAATTAGTGTGATGAACAACATTAATGTGGCTGTTTAAATAACATCGAATCAATAATATTGATAGATTACAGCTCAATAGCATCAACATAACAATAAGCTGAGTGTCAGAAAAATTAGGAAAGATAATATTACAAATTCATGAGTATATAGTTTCTACTGAAGGCCAGTCAGGGCAGTAGTAGTGACTAGCTGGACTTGCTTCTTTTGGATACCGAGCGCTGGTTGTTTGAGGCAAATCGCAATAGCCTCTGCTGTTTGGAGCCTGCGGTGCTTCGATGATTTTGGCAATTTATTAGGCACCCGGTAGATTATACAGAAGGATTCTTCAGTGCTGACTGGCTTTGTGGCCCGTTTGTTTGCACCAGATGGTCCAATATGAAGCTGTTAATGGTTTTAACTTCACCTTTACTTAGCCATAGTGGGAGATGTTCTCGAGTGAGCACGAAAAATCAAGTTCCTAGAACAACGACCAATATAACTCGCTCCAACAAAAGCAGCGCAGTTGAATTGGTAGATACAATTTGAAGTGGCTAGTCTAGGTTTTCATCTTTCAGTCGAGGTAGCACCATCAGTCGTGTAGAGAATAATATTTGTAGTTCCCCAGCATTAAAAGTTCTTTGAACTGATTTTCTTAATTTCTTCGTAATTATCTCACTTGGTATATCACCCTTGAATTGTAGTCGTATATAAAGAGGCTTCTTGTTTACAGATAGTGATGAGTAGTCCTTTTCCGCTTTCAGCTAAGAATAAAGACTGTGGAGAACAGAGTAAAATCGATTACCTTCTGTTCCTTGATTTTGTTAGTAATATTTTGTATATCTCTAGTATCAACGCTACGTCATTCCTATTGTACATGTTATGTATAGAATAGATGAAGATTGATTGATGAACCTCTCTATCTAGCTGCCTATATTACATTTTTAATAGAAATTTAGCTGTGTCCCACCCTATTATGCGATCGTCTGTAGGTATGGTATATTCTTTGTGCTGTTTAACTGCAAATTAGTGATGCAAGATCTTTAGGAGTCAGTATCCGCATTCATTCTTGCAGGTGAACTGTTTGGAGTTGCTGTAAAGTTTGTGTATCTAGGTGGTTATGCGAGGGCTGACAGTGGGACACATGAAATCTCTAATTGTATAGCAAAAGCCAGGGTTGCATACGCCAACTTGGGCCACCTGTGTCGCCGTCAAATGTTGATCCTATAATGCTCCGATGCGCGCAGTCTTACTTTATACCTGTGAAACCTACCGTCTCCTAATAGAGAATGTGCGACGATTTTATGTATTCAACCATTGCTGTCACCGTAGAATTGCTCGCATCTCACGGCATCGTCGTATGAGTGATCCTTAGGTCAAGCAGCGTGTATATGAACACAGTGGAGGTCATCACTGATTGAGTGTCGTTATTTGGAAACACTGGCTTCATTGAATGTAACAAATATATCACCCCAGTCTCTGTTCGCTAGCTCTGGAAAAAGCGGACAAGTGGTCAGCGTACGATGTGGAATGAAGGATATTTGTGCTCGCTTAGCATTATTCGATACATCACAAACTCCCTGGTTACGGTTCGAATCAGTGGCTCAAAACGTTGTCACATACATATGGCTAAGAATCGTAATCACTGGCAAATATATTGCTGGTTTGCCAATGTGATGGCTTATTAGTGAACAACAGATGCAGCCCCAGAGATAGTAAAGCTAGATTTATCACACAGTTTAAAAAATCATCTCACCACCCATCTACAATGTGAGAGTTTATATTGTCAGCAACTCTTAGTGTGGTAACCCCCCCCCCCCAAAAAAAATATGATCAAGCTCTTTTACTATCCTAAGTAGTAGCTTGGAATAGCAGTCACCTCTCTATCTCAAATTCATCGACTTTGAAAAGGCCTTCGACAGCGCAGCATCGAGAGGTCATTTGGCAACTAGTTCGCTACTACGGGGTCCCATCGACAATTATACATCTCATCCAACAGTTATACGACAATGCTGCATGCCAAGTAATCCACAACCGGAAACTTACGGAAGCCTTCAAGGAAGTGAAGACGGAGTAAGACAAGGCTGCCTACTATCACTAATGATCTTCCTGATTGCAGTAGATTGGATAATGAGACAGACAGTGGGCAGCGAGGAGGCAGGGATAAAATGGACTCACACAAAAAACTTGGAGGATCTGGACTTCACCGATTATATATGCCTGATTTCCCACAAACTGGAAGATATGCAAGTGACAAGCAACAAGCTGGCAGAAGAAACATCAAAGATAGGACTTCCTTCAGGTGAACATAGATAAAACACAGATGATGAAGATTCCTGGCCAACACCAACAGCAACAACAGACAACAATCAGCCAGCATAAATGGGAGGAACCTGAAAGAAACAACCTCCTTCACCCACCTACCCTACCTGGGAAGCATCGTTTCAACTACAGGCAGACGGAAGTGACGAAGATATCAATGCAGCGAGTATCGGGAAAGCAAGACAAGCTTTCATTACTCTCAAATCTGTGTGGAAGAGGTTAACAGCACTCAGCATCAAAAATAACATCCGGGTTTTCAACTCCAATGTAAAGTCAGTGCTACTATACGGATCAGAGACTTGCACCACGTGTCATAAAGAGCATCTCCAACAAACTTCAGACCTTCATTAACAGTTGTCTTCGCTCAATACTACTCAAGATCAGATGGCCAGAAAAGATCAGCAACAGAAATCTCTGGCAATGAGAGAACCAACTAGGAACCAATTGTGAAACAAATAGGCAGGAAGAAATGGAGATGGATTGGCCATACTCTGAGAAAACCATCAAGTGACATCACTAGACAAGCCATCACTCGAGTGTAACCCAAAAGGAAAGCGGCTAGTTGGTCGTCAGTGAAAGGGTGACTTGGAGGAGGTTATATGAAGAGGAGATAAAAACATGTGGGAAGACTTGGAGCGGGGTGAAAAATTTGGCAGAAAACAGAAGGCAATGGAGGTGCGCAGCTGAAGCCCTATGTTCCTCTAGGAACTAAAGGATACAATAATAATAATAAGTAGTTTAGAACGATTAAATACTGAAACACCAATACTAATACATTCGGTGCATAAAAGGGCATTGATTGAAACATCAAAATTAACGACTTTATATCTGATAGTTGTGAGGACTTTATTTAGCAGCGGGGAGAGGAGTATCGTTTAAATTCATTCATATTTTAAGAATAGATAGTAGTACTAATGATGTCACCAAGTGTCAATGCTGACGATGATAAACGCTTGATAACTAACCTGGACGATTGTTCCCTGATCCAGAACTGTTATATTGTAGAAGACAAACAATAGGGGTTAGAAACATGTATATTTCCAAGACAAGCAAGAAAAAATGTGCCCAAGAGTAACGAAATATACGACATGTATATATTGATCCAGTAAAAGAGCTTGGATAGTAAGGCGTTAACAGCATACCGGCAACTGATTGGTTGACACACCCATCATGTAACAAACATTTGATTTTCTTTAAACAATGCCATCGCCAGACGTTTCCTTCACACGGGTCATGAGATGGACGTCTAAAGATCTTTCAAAAATTATCTATAGGTAAAAGAGTTCAATTTTCCTGAAGTTTGCTGAAGCCATTTCGATCAAGCTGCTGAAACCTGATTTATGTGTTGAAAAAGAAGCAGTTATCAGTCTTTCCTTGTCCTGCTGCCTGGTAACTGGATATTTTCACCTCTCTTTCCATCTGATTACGTCATGTGGAAAGTTTCTTTTGTGTGTATGATCATTACTGTTCGGAATAGTGTTTAATATTATTATACATATATTACTACTCTATGCATATATTGATTGATTGGTTTTTGTTTAAAAATGAACTCTGTGCAAGTATGTGAAAATTATTTTTGTAAATATACTTAATAATGGCTTTGGCCTGTAAGCAGCTGATGAGAAGGCAACGAAATAAGCAATGATGGTACGACTGTACTCTGCAAAAACCGCTGTTGTTCTTGCTTTATTCAGATTTGCTTTCATCTAACATACAGGCATCATAATCATCATTACCACTGTCATCTGATGTTATGATTGTCTTAAAAATACACATCTGAACAGCAGACGCGCGACTCCTGGAAGCAAAATGATTCTGGTTGTACTAGCTAGAAATGGGTTGTAACCTACATAGAAGACGATCGTCGTTATCTGACATATGACTACTTACTGCTATTAGCCGCTTAACCAAAAATTATCTCAACATAAACATTGTCGAGCTTATACATTCCATTCCATCTAGCACTACGGATATTTATCATAGGTACTTATGGTTAATGGTAGGTCTCATATTTCATTTGCATAAGACTGCAATCATCCATCGATGCGTATTCAAACTTAGCCATATAACATCACTGCTCTTTCCAGTCACTTTTCACTTAAATAAACTTTCCAGCCTGGTAGTGCACATAGTTGAATGGAAATGGCCAAGTTAAACTTTCAGCACCACTAACTAAATGACAATGGAGTGCGGCCGCACAGATGACCTTGAAACGCTTACTGAGCAAGTTAGTGAAACTTGGGTAAGATCAAGTTACGCTTTGAGCAAAGGAGAAGTTAGGGTTAGGTTAACCTAATATAAAAGCGACGTTAGGGTTGGTTCGAGTTAGATTACAGTTAGTTTAGGGATATCTTCATGTTAGAGTTAAGTTTATCAAAGATATTTTTTTTTCTTGATTACAGCTTGATTCCACACCGTATTTTTGGTACAAGTATGGAATTTTCAGCGTGGATATCGGTAGCCCAAATTTTGCAGGCCGACCATAGATATCGGTGTGCGTCGGCGTGGGCTCGAACCTCGGACCATGTGCATGGTCGGCGAGAGAGTCCTAACCACTGTGCCACCGACACACAAGGTTATTGTTAGGGTTAGAAAACCTAGAAAATTACATGCATAGAATGTGGTTGTGCACTGTGGTAGAGTAAAATTCCATTGTGGTTAAAAATCATTTTGACAAAGTCTCGCAGTGTTATATATTGATATTTACTAATGACAACGTTTCGAGCACAATATATTGCTCAGTAAATATTACTGCATAACACTATGAGACTTTATCAAAATAAATTTTACCCACAATGGAATTATACTCTGTTGATACTCCAACCTAAAACTGAGAGCTGTTTTTATCACATACAAGAGAAAGGTATCCCCTGTATCGCTTTTATGCAGTTTTTATTCATAATTAAATGTATTCCCCACATAAAAATGCCTCTTTCACGTGATTGGTGCGTTCAAGGTCGTTCGCTGAATGGTAGTTAGTGTGCGGTGAGGGCTGGCTGCTAGCCAAATTGGTAGACAGTAATTTACGTCAATGTTATGTCCCCAATATTGGTCGTGAGGAAAATGAGGGGAAAGGCTTTGCGTAGGCAGATACAGTTAACATATAGATGATCTGACATTCAAGAAACAGCCACAAAGAGATGAAAGATGAACTTTCAGTGAGAAACAACCACCAATCAGAAGCCTGTGTTTGCTTGCCTACAATAATCTATGTAATGTACATGAAAATCCATAAATATCTGTTGATTTCCTCAATAAACGATCTGTTTCCTGGTCCTTGTCCTCTGTTGTTACATTTAGTGTCGCTGCCTACCAACAAATGGAAAGCCTATGCCCTGCAGTTTTTGATGGAGACATATGGATCTTTGGGCAGGACTTCGAGGCTTCTGCACAGTTCAGTGGCATTCGAGATCTGTCAGCGATTAGGCTGCTACATGGAACACCGCTGGGAGGTCGGAGAAAGCAACATATGGAAGTGCGAGGCGAAATACCGATGAATGTGCGACAGGGTCATGCAAACAGTTTCCAAAGTGTGAAGGACCACATATGGTCACGTTGAGATGGGGTTACGCAGACACAATTGCGATGGTAAACAAAGAGAAACGGGTAAATATCAGCGAGCGCCAAGATTCCAGACAACAAGACAAACGAACAAAGCCCCTAGAACAAGAAGATCGGACCAACATCAGTTGGAAGTTTTTGACGGGGGGACGAGTGTGGTAAGAGGTGGCTGCTAGCCAAAAGTGGTAGACAGTATTTCACGTCAATGTGTGTGTGTCCCAAATATTGGTCGTGAGAAAATATGAACAAAGACACTGATTCAACAAACAACCACAGCACACTTTGCATAGGTGGATACAGTTAACATATAGATGATTGATATTCAAGAAACAGCCATAAAGAGATGCAAGGTTAACTTTCTGTGAGAAACAACCAATCAGAAGACTGTTTGTGTGCTTGAATAAGCTATAATAATGTAGATGAAAATATATAAATACGTGTTGATTTCCTTAATAAACGATTTGTAGCCTGGTGCTTGTCTTCTGTTGTTACAGTAGTGCTTAAAGTTTAACTTTGCCATGGAGATTTAGTCAAGTAATGAAGTCTCGAGGCTAATACTAGATGTGACTACTGATCTGTCACCGGTTAATCACACAATTGAACGTACTTTATGCAGTGATGCATGCAGTTGTCGATGAGGCACTGTACTAAGACTCTGTCGCTAGTAGGCAATCACAAGCGAACATACCACGTCAAGTTCAACAAATAAAAGTCATTTCATCAGTATAAAATTTATAATTATTCTATAAATACAACACAGACGTCTAAGATGAATTGCACATACACTCACACACACACTATGTTGAAACAATCTTTGACGGTGATGTTTGAGATTGAGCCAAGTTGGCTTTATAACACGATAGACTGCATAAAGAACGTCCAGTTTTTGGACATTCATAACGTCTAACACAACCGCATCCCATATCACACATACGTGGCTTTGGTGTTTCATTAGTAGCATTGGTAGGCTTGTTAAAATTCGCATGGAAATAGTCGTGTGTTGCAGGTAGACAAATAACAGTTGACTCGGTTAGACGAGAGGAGGAAATGAAACGTATATAGTTTGGATTAGATGGATGATGATGCAAGTGCGAGCCCCCACCACCATCGGGCATTGAAATGCATTCTGATTTGTCTTCAGCCATTGGTGTTGGTAGTGGTGGTGGCGGTGTGATCCCTTCACTACTATTTATCTCTGTAGACTCTACACACATTTCGTTATCTGATTGTTGTTGTGAAGCAAGTACACTATCGTCATGATCTTCTCTTGTAGGTGAGTCATTGGTTTGTAGTCGTCTACCTCGGCCTCGACCACGTCCGCTTATTCCATTGGAGCTAATCTATAATTAGAAATATTGTACAATTGTAGCAATTGATTTTAAATATTGCACGTTTAATAATAATAATAATAATAATTTACTTTATTCCAAAAACAGTACTTATAATACAAAATGGAATTCTCAGCATTTGTCACAACACCTTGCATCTGATTTACTTGAAATATAAATAAAATTAAAAATTAAAACAAAAGTAACCAGAGGAATTTGTCCATGTTTACGATATAAAGTCAAAAATGTTCTAAGCACGAATTGAGAATATTTAATATAATAATAATAATAATAGTGAGTTTGTTTCAAACAGTATTGTTGATTCAGCTTGGAAACTTTAGCGTGTTACTATAGAGTATTGAACCTAATGTTCTGTTGATGTAGTATAGTGAGGGGAAATACAAGATTAACAGTGGTAACACAGCTTAAATGATGTTCACACTTATGAAAAAAAATTGAGAGGATTATAAATATAAGAAGTACAATAACAATAAAGGTTGATGTTGTAAGGGTGGGGGAGGAAATGGTTTATTTAGTAATGCAAAGAAGGTTAGTTAGTTAATGCCTGACACTATTTTCATCACATAAAATACGTGCCAAATATGGTATAGTGGAATTTTTATACTTAGACGTACGTGCATAAATTCTTCTGAAAAGACTTCTTGTTTTACCTGGGGAGACACAAGGTTGGAGCTGCGGGTAAATAAAGTGGATGCTTAGAGTCTGACAAAATTCCTTTAGCAAATTTGTTGCATGACATCAAATGCCTATCAATGACGATGTCAACGATATGGCCCAACCGGATAAGATACCACTCATCCTACTGACAGTCTTCAGAGTTCTACGAAGTATGACATAGTCTTTTTTAAAGCAAGATCAATGCAATTACAGTTCACTAAAAATACTTAAATTATAATAGTAATAAAGATATAATAGCGAGTAGGATATCAGACGCTGTCCCTACCTTGGCCATCTAGGTTTGAATGATTCTCAATTTTCGTGAAAATTTCCTAATTTTAGTTGATATCCTACCCGCTATTATAGTCTTTTTTAAGCAACCCAGGAAAGAATAAGGGTTTACAGTAAAGAAGAATAGGCAAGATGCACGAGTTGACAAACTGTAAGAGGAGGGGTTAGGTTATGTCTGAGTGCCTCAACTTCGTAATGTAAAAAGTCAGACGAAATATTCTTTTAGAAATCGCTAAGACATGGGAAGACCAGGATAGGTCAGAAGAAAGAATTACTCTAAGATACTTAACTTCAGACTTGATTTCTATATCACTATCATCAATTTTGCAGCTTTGATAAGTTTAATTTGATTAGGGAAAACCATAAAGCTGGTTTAACGAATAGCATATCACATAATTAATTCCTTATTTACTGTCTATACGGCAGTTGTTACCTCGACTTGTGCGTCGGTGGCACGGCGGTAGAATGCTCACTGACCTCTCGTGTGGTCCGGGGTTCGATCCCCGGCCACCGACGCACTCGTTTACCTCGCTAAGTCAGTAGTAAGACTAGTAAAGGGGGAAGGTTGGTCATGAGGCGGCTAGTAACCCCATCCCGTCACCGTAACACCATTGCTATCGAAACTTTGAGCCTCTAGCTTGAAGCCTACGTTGACTTCAACAAATAGACCTGATTAGCCAAATACTACCATTTATGCTCGAAATAAATGAAACACAATGTCTAGCATGAAGGTTGATTTTTTTTATTCCTTTACGTTCCCAGTGGAAATGAGGCTTCAAGCTAGAGGCTTGAAGTTTCCGTAGCAGTGGTGTTTGTTTCTACGCGATGGGGTTGGTAGCCTGTCTCATACCCAGCCTTCCCTCTCTACCAGTCTTGTTACCCGCTTAGCGAGGTAAAGGAGTGTGTCGGTGGCCGAGGATCGAACCCCGAACCACCTACGTGGTCGGCTAGCAACCTACTGCTGTGCTACCGACGCACACACCACTGACATCAGTCAGTGGAAAGAGTTCAAGTGGTTAAATAAAATAAAAACTAGAAAGAACATTAATATGACTAAGGTAAAGAAAGGGGTTTGACGAAACGTTTTTGAACACATAATTTAGGTGTCTGTTGAGGTATAGCTAAAGCTTCGGCTATGCATAAGTGAAGAAAACGTAAACTTTTGGATCGATTCGATTTTGCCATGTAGATAACTTTGAAAGATGAGTCACGCGGGGCTAAATGACCAGACTTTAACAGGTGATCACAAATAGACGACTTCGCAGTTCTACGTTCGCCTTTCATTAACCAAACCGGATAGTGTTCAGCTACACGTTTTCGGAGCTTACGCTTACAGCGTCCAATATAATCAGCTCCACAAGAGCAGGTAAAAGAGTAAATGCACATAGATGCGGAAAAAAGTGGTAATCTATCCTTGACTCATTGTCTAATCATATTTCGGCTGGTAAAAACTAGATGCAAGTCAGCTGCAGGAAAAGTACGTTTAATACATTTAGATAAACGATTTTTAATCAATTCCAAAATGGTGTCACCTTCGAATGTCAGACTCATAAACAGTTTTTTCTTTGGCAGTGTGCTTTGTCTAGGGGTGATTCTTTCTTGATGTTACGTTCAATAAACCAAGTAGGATAACCACTGTTAAGGAGATTTGATGGTGGTTATCTAGTTTCCTACTGATTGTCTCTGCAAAGCAGATTTCACGAATTCTGGAGCACAAGGAATGAATAATATTTCCCTTATAACATTTTAATTATCACTATTCTTATCACTTATATATGTATATTGACTGAGCAATTATTTAGTGCCACTTAATAACCTTTTTCTGTAATATAAATACGACTGTACTGTTGGCTTGAAAATGAAATCGTTGAAAAGAAATTTCTTCTCTGAACAAAAAAACTGTTTCTACTTATAAAGCAAATTATTTGATGATGTTAAGTGGTTGGAGGCAATCGGCAGAAAACCTTACCTGACCTAGATTTCGTGCTAGTTGGTTACTAGCGAGTCAACAGGGCGTATCTGAAACCCTGAAGGAACACCTCATGTTCCTTCTGACATTCGAACCCGCGTCACGCAGTGAGTTTTGCACTCAGATACGTGAACACTGAGCCAGCTATTCAGGCTTGTGATTGACCTCCAATAGAGTGCAGCAGGTCGGGTGTGAGGACAAATACTCGCCACCGATGATATTGGCTAGAGGTTGCGCTATGTCGTGAATTGGCAGAAGTTGGAATTCATTGGCTGACCATTGGATCGGGTCCAGTGGCTAATGGTCTACGAGATAGCCCGTCTTGTAACCAGAAGGCTACGGATTCGAACCATTTGGTGTGGGTGCGTACTATTGAAGAGTCCCACACTAGGACGAAACAGCTGTCCAGTACTCCCAGCTGGTTTTCCAATGGTTCTCTAACCAATGCCAGCTTATGATGAAATCCTGTAACCAATCAATCAAATCCCCACAAACCAATACTTTGATTGGAAACTAGTAACTAACTAGTGTGATGTGTCCAGTCCTTACTTTGGTGTAGACTGAATTCTATCAGTCAGTCAGTTAGGTTCGCAATGTGGCTACCACGCTAGGTAGCTCACCATCACGGTGTACATTGAATCTCAGAAGGAACATGAGTTCCTTCAAAGTGGTTGCAGATACGCCTGCCTTGCTGACTGGTGAGTGCCAACTAGCACGAAGCCTAGGTCAGTCAAGGCTTCCTACCGATTGCCTCCAACCATCTAACATCAACAATTCAAAGTGCACCGTGATAGCAGGCCAGCCACCTAGTGGCATGGTGGCCACATTGCAAACCTGATTGACTGATAAAATTCAGTCTGTACCAAACACCAAGGACTAGACACACATCACACTAGTGTTACTGACTACTGTCATCCAATCAAAGCAAATTATTATTAAAATCAAAACTGTAATGGAAGGCTAACAATAACAACAACACCAAAACCAACAATGGGAAGGAGTTACAACTTACCTTTAACAAACGTTCAACTAGTTGACGTTTTTCTGTTTCTACCTTGAGTTTTGCTGTCTCTTTACGTTGATCTATCTTCTTTTGACGAGCAGCAATTTGTTCCTGTGTTAAATCAGTCGATGACTTCACCGGATTCGATTGAGAATCATCCGATTGGCTTAAAGTTTTAACACTAGCTGAATCGGTATATTTTTGTGAGTGTAAGCTTATCTGTCGTGCAGTTAATGGTTGTTTAAGATATCTTGAGGAGTAGATTTCCTCTTCTTCATCCGAGTCTTCTTCTTCTTCATTACTCGAATCGGAGTTCACATTTTCAGCGGCAATGAATTCAGCTGCCTTATTTCCAGTTTTGATTGTTCCTCTTTTACGTGTACTTGGCCTTGTGGATTGACTATCTGGAGAAGGACTTTTCTGAACAACTTGTGGATGGAAATAGGGTAAAAATGGAGCAAAGCCATCGTTCTGGAAAAGATCATAAAGGTATTTAGGATTTCAAAAAGCAGGTGGACTTTATATTGAAGTTTGCGGTGAAAGCTGTCTGCTAGCCAAAATTGGTAGACAGCAATTTACGTTAATGTTACACGTCCCGAATCGGGGTCATAAGGAAAAAGGCAATAACAAAGCCCCTAACCTTAAGGAACTCACCAACCAATCACAGCAGACTTGATGTGTGCAAATACAATTTAGAAAAAAAAATCCCCATTTAGACATTTAGAAAACAGAAAGATTGAGCGAAATAATAACACTGCGCCTGAAGAATGCACTTAAAAGAGCTTATTATGCAGCAGAGGTACATTGCCTCTTCACAACCACACCTATTCTATGTTCCAGAAATAAGAATAAACTACCTAAGTTTACCTCTTCTATGCGTATTTACCAGTCTGACTGCATCTGGGGAGCCAACTACACTGGACGTACAATTAGGTAGGTTCATCATCGTATTTCCGAACATCATCCAACATGGTTAAGCAAGGGACAAACAAGATCTATTCGTAGCCATCACACCTTGTAGATAGTGAGCATAAGGTTGATGTTAATACTATATTTAAAATTATTTATTGCATTCCGACTTACCTTAATTTTGCTCTGCGAGTTCGGCTTCTACAGATGGCTGAAGCAATCGGAATTCACCTGAAGAAGCCAAGCCTATGTGTACAGAAAAAATTTGTACAGCCACTTTCCTTACCTTGGCCATCGTTACATGAATGTATAAAACGGGCTACTTCGCCCCCTCCCCCAAAACCTTAAAAATTATAATTGTCCAAATTATTTTATAATTTTTCTGACCGCTTCATCTTTAGTCACGTGTTATCCTTGTAAAATTAATTTATTCTAACCACTTCTACCTTTTAATTGTGTCCATTCAATTTTCTTCGTTATTATCACCCACCCCATTGACATTTTGACACTGACTAGTTAATTATTGTTAACAAACATATCAGTGCCAGCCACTTGATTGGTAAACTGTTGTGTATTGTAATAAAAATGCTATGGGTATATATTAGAGCAGAGCCAGAATGAGATGAGGATCTAATTGAAAAGTAAATATTTCTTCGCTCAATCTTTCTTCAAATACAATTCGCAGATATGACTTAACTTTCTGAGAAATGCTCACAAGCAGTACAGAACAACCTTCAGCAGGAACAAAAAACACAGTCAGAAGACGTTGCTTCTCCACTGACAATAATGTCTGTTTTCCACATAGAACTTTGCACATATATGCGGCAGTTCAAGTCGCCACACTCCCTTCTTGTAGCACACAAAGCAAGAGAAGAAAGTACAAGAAATGTATAATAGAGACAGTAAACAGAGGTGTGAGACAAACGAATAGTAGTAACGAAGAACAATATAGTTTCATAGGGAATCATAAGTCACAGGGAGTGGATACATCTGCGCCATTAAGAACGATTTTGAGCCATATCACCAATTGTTTCCAACCATTGGCTTTTACCGTCCCGAGGACCCCAACCAGGAAGCCTACACCTTCCTACGTGGCTAGCTTAGACTAACTGTTGTAAATTTCATTGACTGGTGCCATGTTTTTGTTTGACCACCGCTAGCTTCTTTTCCAGCCTGACCCTATGTCAGCTAACATTGCCCATCGAGGAAGGGCAATGTACATAAAAACCCATAAGTATTCCTTCATTTTCTCAATAAACGATCTGTTGCTTGCCTGGCCCTTGTCTTTTGTCGTTACAAAGTGACTGAAGACATTGGCTGGAAAGACCAATGAAAACTTTGCAATCAATCAAACCATTCAGTTCATAGAATACAGCTACAGGCAAATAGACCTACTATTATAAGATATCATATCAGAAAAGAATCGATAAAAAATTATTTTATAGTGACTAATCGAATGAGAGAATTAGACGGCACTATATTTACTAGACAACAAGACAATTTGACGACCAAAATCAATGAAATGAAGGATCAAGGGGAATTGTGCAATATGGGAATGAGGCAACGGTATCACTTACTCCAATAGACACATCTTAAATAGTGCTTTTGTCAGAAATGATAACCCGTAAGTGTTATGTATTCTACTGATAGAAATTTGTAAGCATTAATACAGAAGATTTGTAGCTCAGGAGGATGATTGTGAATTAGTTGGGTTCTCTGAGGGGCTGGTTAATGACTTAATTGCGAAGCTTTCGTTGTCCCCCCCTGCTAGACAACATCTTCCTTCAGTGCACGTTTTAGTATAAAATGAATTCACTTAAATTCTCCATAAATGATGTAATTGTATCTTCTGACAACTATCTTTGTGACTGGTTGTTGGTTGATTCACGCCTCTATTGGTCATTTTTATTGACTTAGAATTCGAACTTTCTTGTCGTGTGATGACTTACTTTTTATTAGCTGGTAAATTTCGTCTATAACAATGTGTGTTAGTTAATCGCTGATCGATTTACTCGAGCACCAGTCAGGCTTCTAGGAATTCCCTGACTGCATTTTTAGTGTTTCCTCTATTTAAAATTTCTACATTATCCCAGTCATCAAATTAGTGTCTGTAATTATCTACATGCATCGATATGAAAGCGTGAAGGAAAAAATTGATATGAAAGAATATATATATCGTCTTTTTACAGCTAATTTGTGTTCTTGGATTCGGATTCGAAAGGGGGCGTGCCCACTTTCGAATCCGAATCCAAGAACACAAATTAGCTGTAAAAAGACGATATATATATTCTTTCATATCAATTTTTTCCTTCACGCTTTCATATCGATGCATGTAGATAATTACAGACACTAATTTGATGACTGGGATAATGTAGAAATTTTAAATAGAGGAAACACTAAAAATGCAGTCAGGGAATTCCTAGAAGCCTGACTGGTGCTCGAGTAAATCGATCAGCGATTAACTAACACACATTGTTATAGACGAAATTTACCAGCTAATAAAAAGTAAGTCATCACACGACAAGAAAGTTCGAATTCTAAGTCAATAAAAATGACCAATAGAGGCGTGAATCAACCAACAACCAGTCACAAGATAGTTGTCAGAAGATACAATTACATCATTTATGGAGAATTTAAGTGAATTCATTTTATACTAAAACGTGCACTGAAGGAAGATGTTGTCTAGCAGGGGGGGACAACGAAAGCTTCGCAATTAAGTCATTAACCAGCCCCTCAGAGAAAACAACTAATTCAAAATTTGTAAGCACCATCTATATTTCAATATCTTCGGTAAAAGTCACTTGAAGAGTCAAGCTACTACTACTGAAGTGGAAAAATCCCAGCTAAAAGAACATGAACATTTTGTAAACATTTGACTTCTAATGTAAGGTTATATTTTTTCAACTATTCGACTTATCTGTCCATGAAACAATTCTCAAAGTCTTCACTGCTGTTCGATGCATCATTAATATTAAAAACTTTTGTCTTCAAACTATCATGTCCTATTGATTTGCATGTTTTAGCACAACCCCTATAGATTTGATGTATCTGTTGCCTTGAATCCTTGGTTTAAAATATACTTATCACAGTATGCATGCTATCTCCTTACTCTATTTTATACGAACGGTTAACAATTCTGACTGGAATCACAAACTACGGACGTATGTTATGCTTTTTTTTTATTATAGCTTGATTCCACACTGTATTTTTGGTACATGTATGGAATTTCCAGCATGTGATATTGGTAGCCCAAATTTTGCAGGCCGACCGATTGATATCAGGTGTGCGTCGGTAGGAGATCGAACCTCGGACCATGTGCATAGTCGGCGAGAGTCCTAACCACTGTGCCACCGGCGCACACAAAAAGAGGAGGCGGTCCCCACGCACGGACCGGGCTGTCACATGGCCACCATTCACAGGCGCTATCCCACTACCGCACCACGCGGGGACTTTTGCCTGATGGTTTTCCCCCCTGGGCCGGTGCGCCCCTCCTTAGTCGACCTGTACAACCCGTCCTCCGACAGGTCATCCATATCGGCGCCGTGCTTAGCGTGGACGCCCGATTAACATGAACATCCATGTGCCAGAACTCCCGGTTGCGAGAAATTCCGCACTCTGGCCTCGAAGTAGCTAGATTGCAGGCGCACGCCATCATATAAGGGGAAATGATTACTTGAGCAGGATCATCCAGATGCTAAGGATCAATAGCTAGAAATTTAATGCGTCTTCGTCGAAATCCCAAACATTTTAATTGATCTGCATTTAATCATTCCTCACATTAATGCTTGTCCGTTATAGCACCATTGTTTTGTGTGCTCATAATGTGGGGAGAAGGTTCAACCAATTGACATCATGCACTTTTCAGTGTAAGCTTACATATCAGTCGGTTCGTGTGTTCATTAATAGGCAATCACTATAAATCACGTCTAAGACAATAACAATTTGTATTGTGAAACCAAATGAAAGATTATTGTTCATCGGATATAAGGAAATCAGAGTGATACTAAATTCTACCGACTGGCTGACTGTCTGACTGACTGGCATGAGTGGTCATAAACCACCCATATCAAATGAATATTTGGTAGGCTCCCGGTTAGATGCTTGCGGAGCGAGTTGGTAGGAAGTCCTGGAACTAGGTTCAGTGTCGTCGTAACAGACATCAGTGACACAATTGACCTCATATTACGGTGGTAATGATTGATCACTGGGAAGTAAACAGTACCATCACTCTAGCCCTTAGTGGTGTTGACTGAATTCTATCATTTAGGCAGAACAGCTCTGACTGACTAGTTATTCGAATTGAATACTATAATTATTAATAAGTAGTATAATCGAATATAGCGTTCACAAAGGTAGCCAGAGAATAGTGATAACAATGATAAAACAAAACAATGGTAGACACTAAACATAGTGAATGATGATGAATTACCTCAATATCATCGGGTTTTTCGTAAGTGTATTCATCAAATTCTAGAAACCTTGAACCAAAATCATCTGCTGCTACAAATGTAGAATCAGAGTCTGACATAGAATTATTTCTTTTTTCTCTCTCTCTCTAATTCATCAATTCAACTGTATAGACGCTGTCGGCCAAACTGCTAAGTTACTACAGTGGTAAACTGATTAGGATGACTTTAACTTTGTGACTTACCTGATTATCAAATGACACAAACAGTCAGAATTACCGTCTCACGTATCGCATCTCAATAGGGAATATGTAATTCTGGCATCCTGCTAAGTGGAAAAATTATGCAGTAATTATATATATATATATATATATATAAAGGGCTTGAACATGCACATTAATTATAATAATTCGTATGAATTCTCAACTGACGACTTCTATGTCTGAGGTAACTGAGTATAAGGATTTAGGATTCATTGTAGTGATTCATTCCCAAAAAAACCTTTGGGAGTGAACCGAATAATAATTTAGCAGCCGCTAAGAGTTTGTGATCAACACTTTCGTAAACATCAATGTAAATATGTTCCCCATAGCACAACCAATACTACACTTTATTCGGAATACAGGAATTAATCAATGGGTATTAGATATTTGCCCAGCAGTAGAAAATCAAATGGCAAAATCACTCTGGAACTTTGTAAAGGGTGATCAGATTACACTTCCAACTATTGAAGCGAGAATTAGTTTTAGCATTTCTTGTACTAAGCATTGAATTGAGTGACAGATTACCCTATTTCCAAACTGCGTAATTTACATATCTCAATATGATACAAACAAGAACTACTTTTTAAGGATTTCACAAAAGGTTATTTCTTATCTCTCCCATCTGTTGTATTTCTGTTAGATACAGTGGTTAAACGAATATCAGTTTATTTTGCGAAGAGTATAATCACATTTTATAAGCTTTCTCTTGAAGCTCCCCTCCGACTGAAGGGTGATCATGTCAGCAAGTAGTGAACCACAAAAGAAAAGAACTAAGCGAAATGAAAATGGGTTGTACATGTTCTACTGCCTCCTGATGAACAATTCTGAATAGATATCATCAAGGATTACCTTAATATCTTTTACTCAGATGACTTGGGCTTTCCACTACTTTACTGGTCTTTCAAGCTTCTCTAGGGCTTTGTTTTGTGGCATCTAGTCTGCATAACTTTATCACACACACACACACACAACTCATACAATCTCTACAAAAGTTTACTGAAAATGCCAGACTAAATTCAGAGAAGTCCTGCTTAGCGGTATTGTACTCAGCTCAGTGTTAATTTTCTCAAAGACTTTCTGTTATTCTTTACTTACCGCTACGTTTCATGCTCTTTTTTGAAACGGTAAGAACTAACGGCTATGTAGGGCCAGCGAAATGACTCGAGACCGTTCTCAGTGACGCAGATATACTCACTCTTTATGAACTCCCACATCCACTGAGCTTTGATTACACTTTAAGCATATAATTTTACCCCGAGAATTCCCGTTTGTTGTAGCTTCTCTGCACTTTTTCCTCTACATTTCCCAGATACTAATCGACACAAATGGTACGTTTCAAGTGGCTTTTAAGAGCTATCAGCTAATTTCTCTGATCAGTCGATTGTTTAAGTGTGTATTCCAGCGGGAAACGACACTAGCGAGCACGTCGACCTTCGACTGGTTAGATCTTTACAGTTTCACGTGTCTTCAAAGGGCTACAAAACACTAATTCAATAAACGGATGTAAACGTAGATCAGTAAACTTGAATTTCAGGATACACTTTCCCTAGAGTCGGGAAACTTCATTTAAGGTGAGTTGATGGTGATTTATGTATGCACTGAGCGCAAGCGTACCTACTAAGATGATGCGTCGGTGGCACAGTGGTTAGGACTCTCGCCGACCATGCACATGGTCCGGGGTTCGAGCCCACGCCGACGTACACCTTGATATCTATGGTCGGCCTGCGAAATTTGGGCTACCGATATCCATGCTGAAAATTTCATACTTGTACCAAAAATACAGAGTGGAATCGAGCTGTAATAAATAAAAAAACACTGTTCCACTGAATTTATAAATTCGGGGGCTATTTCCCAGCTAGCATTTTCTTCGGGCGCATTGCAGAATTTTTGGGGCAAAAAACTTCGGGTAAATCTACTTACGTGGGACACTGTCCCGAAGTCTGCCCCAAAAATTCTGCAATTTGCCCTAAGTCTGCCCCAAAAAGTCTGCAATGCGCCCGAAAAAAATGCTAGCTGGGTTTGTAGCAAGTAAATGGGAAAATGCAATATATTTCCGGTAAATCATTAATTTACTCCGAAATATTTGGCTAGGGCATATGAACACTCACTCAAGAAGAGGTGAACATGTGAAATCCTCACAACACAATTTGTGTAACAGAAAAAGTTAACGCTAAACGAGTCCAATATCCAATATCCTGATGACGAGCTAGTATAAACCAGTGATTTCTTTGAGCTCGCTTCTTGATTGTGAGGTAGAGGTTCCAGATCTTCGGTGAGCTTCTGCGTAGTAAGTCCCGCCACTCGACTGCTTTAGCTCTGGTAGACTCCAGGAGGAGTGGTGCGGGGATTGGTCGAGATGTGGTTTGTAGTATGCAGTATGTTAGGACTGTATTGCTGCCGTGAATGGAGTTTGACCTAACTCCCCTTGGTCATTCGGTGTAGTCATAAAAGCAGAATAGTAATAATAATAATAATAGGTTGTAGTGTAGATAATATAGGTTGAGATAAGTGGAATAATAAAGGTGACATAAGGAAAAGACAGAGTGAGAGAAGGCAGAATAGGTCGTGGGGATTTAGTTAGTACGCTTATTCATTGACAGTTTGGTTTCAAATTTTATGAGGATAAGCCATTGAGACACAAACCTTGCATTTCTGCATGATTGTCTAGCTTCCGCTTAAAAATCTCCACAGATGGCGCTGTAGTCACGGCCGCCGGTAAAGCGTTCCAGAGACGGCAAACACGAAGCGAAAAGAAATGTGATCGCACTCGAGTCTTTGGTCTCTGGTGTGCTATCCTTAGCGGGTTACCTCGTGGAAGCCTATAATCGCTTAATGGCAGGATGCTTTTATTTGGGTGGGCCTGGTCATTTAGGATCTTGTAGACGGTGATGAGGTCTCCCCTGTGCCTACGGTAACTGAGTGTGAAAAGACCTAATTTCTTTAGTCTTTCCTCATATGATTTGTTGCGGAGGCCGATCACCCATTTTGTCGCTCGTCTCTGGACACTTTCTAGAATGTTAGCATCCCTTTTGAGTAGCGGAGGTGCAATGATATTATGCACCTCAAGGTGTGGCCTCACATATGCCTTGTATAGCCTTAAGAACAGTTCGGGAGTGAGAGCTCCCAGCTGCCTGTGCATAAAGTGTAATGTTGCGTAGGCTTTGGCGACGTCCCTCGAGTAATTTCCACTGGTGTCTAGCTTTTCTGTTAGAATAAGACCTAGATCACGCTCTGATGGAACACAACTCAAGTTCTGGCCACCAAGGGTGTAATTTACACTCTGTGACCTGCCGGAATGAAGCTGCACTACTTTGCACTTCTTTAGATTGAAAGGCATTCCGTTAGCCAAAGCCCAATTTCCCAGAGTTTGCAGGTCAGCCTGCAATCTATCTGAGTCTTCCGATGAGTTTATTGCTCTCCAAATCTTTACGTCGTCAGCGTAAAGAAGCGCAGAGCAGTTTAGTTGGGGGGGCAGGTCATTGATAAAAATCAAAAACATCAACGGCCCTAGGATAGAACCCTGAGGAACCCCTGATGCCGAGGTGTGCCAAGATGATCGGATGCGGTTGACTTTGGTGCAGAATTCTCTCTCGCCTAAGTAATCTGTCAGCCATGCGAGAAGTGCTCCAGAAACTCCCGCCTTGCCTATTTTGTGAAGGAGCAGACCATGGTGAACTGTGTCGAATGCTTTCGCAAAGTCGAGAAAGATCACGTGGGCTGGTACCTTTTTGTCCCAGGTTAGTGTCCAATCGTTCCAGGCTAGTAGAAGATTCGTCACGCAGGATCTTCCCCTCCTGAAACCGTGCTGTGCTTCGTGAAGAAGGTTAGTCCCATCGAAGTATTTTCTCATGTGGTCGTCAATGAGACTTTCCAATATCTTCGATACCACTGGAAGTAGAGCAACTGGTCTGTAACTGGTCACATTCTGCCGGTCACCACCCTTGAAGATAGGGGATAGGATTGCACGTTTCCATTCACATGGAAGTTTCCCTACATCAAGGGAGTGTTGAAACAGATCACTTAGGGGTTGACAGAGACTTTCTGAACACTGCTTCAGGACAGATGGTCTGATGCCATCACAACCTGGAGACTTTCCCGAAGCCAACCGTCCCAATTTTGCAAGTACCATAGCCGGGGTAATTTGAAATGTCCCCAGCAGGTTTTCGTGTGTTGGTTCTGCGATGTAATCTGGATGTTCTGTAGGGGTAATATCCTCGTTACTATTTAGTTGCCTGTGAAAGGCTAGGCTGAATGTCTCTGCCATTTCAAGACTAGTAAGAGATTTCCCATCAGAACCCACTAGATTGCATGCTCCCTGGTTGGTCGGTTTTCTTTCGGCCATAAACCTGTATAGGCTTTTGGGGTTCACTAGAAGCTTATTGGCGAGGTCTCCCTGAAATGTCCTTCTATCGCTCCGGACTCGTATGTTACATCGATTCCTGAGTTCAAGGTACACTTCATATTCGGGTTGACTTTTCGATCGTCGCCACGCGAACCAGGCTTTACGCTTTGCCTGCAGAAGGCGTTGTGTCCCTCTTTTCAGCCATGATCGTTGCTTCCTAGCTTTTGGTGAGTCGTGTCTAACAACAAAGCTTCAAAAGAGAGCGGAGGAAAACACAAGCATTTTAGTGTTTTTACTGTATATCTTGTTGCTGCCAAACTCCCGCCCAATAAACATATAGACTTACCGCTTCACCTTTAAAATGTACCGCATTATTCGTTTTTGTGCTCTCATAAGTTATTTTCGTTTTCGTTTACCAGTCCGTGTATATATCCAATATCTTGCAGTAGAAACCCTACGATTCTTATGGTAAAGCTTCTTCTTGTTTTAGGACAGTTTCAGATATATCTGGCAGAGTCTAGCACAAACTGTCATATCGATTGCCGCAACAATACTGGAGTTCGTCTCTTTTGGAGATCCAATATCCAATATCCTGATTACGAGCTAGTATAAACCGGCGATTTCTTTGAGCTCGCTTCTTGATTGTGAGGTAGAGGTTCCAGATCTTCGGTGAGCTTCTGCGTAGTAAGTCCCGCCACTCGACTGCTTTAGCTCTGGTAGACTCCAGGAGGAGTGGTGCGGGGATTGGTCGAGATGTGGTTTGTAGTATGCAGTATGTTAGGACTGTATTGCTGCCGTGAATGGAGTTTGACCTAACTCCCCTTGGTCATTCGGTGTAGTCATAAAAGCAGAATAGTAATAATAATAGGTTGTAGTGTAGATAATATAGGTTGAGATAAGTGGAATAATAAAGGTGACATAAGGAAAAGAAAGAGTGAGAGAAGGCAGAATAGGTCGTGGGAATTTAGTTTGTACGCTTATCCATTGACAGTTTGGTTTCAAGTTTTATGAGGATAAGCCATTGAGACACAAACCTTGCATTTCTGCATGATTGTCTAGCTTCCGCTTAAAAATCTCCACAGATGGCGCTGTAGTCACGGCCGCCGGTAAAGCGTTCCAGAGACGGCAAACACGAAGCGAAAAGAAATGTGATCGCACTCGAGTCTTTGGTCTCTGGTGTGCTATCCTTAGCGGGTTACCTCGTGGAAGCCTATAATCGCTTAATGGCAGGATGCTTTTATTTGGGTGGGCCTGGTCATTTAGGATCTTGTAGACGGTGATGAGGTCTCCCCTGTGCCTACGGTAACTGAGTGTGAAAAGACCTAATTTCTTTAGTCTTTCCTCATATGATTTGTTGCGGAGGCCGATCACCCATTTTGTCGCTCGTCTCTGGACACTTTCTAGAATGTTAGCATCCCTTTTGAGTAGCGGAGGTGCAATGATATTATGCACCTCAAGGTGTGGCCTCACATATGCCTTGTATAGCCTTAAGAACAGTTCGGGAGTGAGAGCTCCCAGCTGCCTGTGCATAAAGTGTAATGTTGCGTAGGCTTTGGTGACGTCCCTCGAGTAATTTCCACTGGTGTCTAGCTTTTCTGTTAGAATAAGACCTAGATCACGCTCTGATGGAACACAACTCAAGTTCTGGCCACCAAGGGTGTAATTTACACTCTGTGACCTGCCGGAATGAAGCTGCACTACTTTGCACTTCTTTAGATTGAAAGGCATTCCGTTAGCCAAAGCCCAATTTCCCAGAGTTTGCAGGTCAGCCTGCAATCTATCTGAGTCTTCCGATGAGTTTATTGCTCTCCAAATCTTTACGTCGTCAGCGTAAAGAAGCGCAGAGCAGTTTAGTTGGGGGGGCAGGTCATTGATAAAAATCAAAAACATCAACGGCCCTAGGATAGAACCCTGAGGAACCCCTGATGCCGAGGTGTGCCAAGATGATCGGATGCGGTTGACTTTGGTGCAGAATTCTCTCTCGCCTAAGTAATCTGTCAGCCATGCGAGAAGTGCTCCAGAAACTCCCGCCTTGCCTATTTTGTGAAGGAGCAGACCATGGTGAACTGTGTCGAATGCTTTCGCAAAGTCGAGAAAGATCACGTGGGCTGGTACCTTTTTGTCCCAGGTTAGTGTCCAATCGTTCCAGGCTAGTAGAAGATTCGTCACGCAGGATCTTCCCCTCCTGAAACCGTGCTGTGCTTCGTGAAGAAGGTTAGTCCCATCGAAGTATTTTCTCATGTGGTCGTCAATGAGACTTTCCAATATCTTCGATACCACTGGAAGTAGAGCAACTGGTCTGTAACTGGTCACATTCTGCCGGTCACCACCCTTGAAGATAGGGGATAGGATTGCACGTTTCCATTCACATGGAAGTTTCCCTACATCAAGGGAGTGTTGAAACAGATCACTTAGGGGTTGACAGAGACTTTCTGAACACTGCTTCAGGACAGATGGTCTGATGCCATCACAACCTGGAGACTTTCCCGAAGCCAACCGTCCCAATTTTGCAAGTACCATAGCCGGGGTAATTTGAAATGTCCCCAGCAGGTTTTCGTGTGTTGGTTCTGCGATGTAATCTGGATGTTCTGTAGGGGTAATATCCTCGTTACTATTTAGTTGCCTGTGAAAGGCTAGGCTGAATGTCTCTGCCATTTCAAGACTAGTAAGAGATTTCCCATCAGAACCCACTAGATTGCATGCTCCCTGGTTGGTCGGTTTTCTTTCGGCCATAAACCTGTATAGGCTTTTGGGGTTCACTAGAAGCTTATTGGCGAGGTCTCCCTGAAATGTCCTTCTATCGCTCCGGACTCGTATGTTACATCGATTCCTGAGTTCAAGGTACACTTCATATTCGGGTTGACTTTTCGATCGTCGCCACGCGAACCAGGCTTTACGCTTTGCCTGCAGAAGGCGTTGTGTCCCTCTTTTCAGCCATGATCGTTGCTTCCTAGCTTTTGGTGAGTCGTGTCTAACAACAAAGCTTCAAAAGAGAGCGGAGGAAAACACAAGCATTTTAGTGTTTTTACTGTATATCTTGTTGCTGCCAAACTCCCGCCCAATAAACATATAGACTTACCGCTTCACCTTTAAAATGTACCGCATTATTCGTTTTTGTGCTCTCATAAGTTATTTTCGTTTTCGTTTACCAGTCCGTGTATATATCCAATATCTTGCAGTAGAAACCCTACGATTCTTATGGTAAAGCTTCTTCTTGTTTTAGGACAGTTTCAGATATATCTGGCAGAGTCTAGCACAAACTGTCATATCGATTGCCGCAACAATACTGGAGTTCGTCTCTTTTGGAGATCCAATATCCAATATCCTGATTACGAGCTAGTATAAACCGGCGATTTCTTTGAGCTCGCTTCTTGATTGTGAGGTAGAGGTTCCAGATCTTCGGTGAGCTTCTGCGTAGTAAGTCCCGCCACTCGACTGCTTTAGCTCTGGTAGACTCCAGGAGGAGTGGTGCGGGGATTGGTCGAGATGTGGTTTGTAGTATGCAGTATGTTAGGACTGTATTGCTGCCGTGAATGGAGTTTGACCTAACTCCCCTTGGTCATTCGGTGTAGTCATAAAAGCAGAATAGTAATAATAATAGGTTGTAGTGTAGATAATATAGGTTGAGATAAGTGGAATAATAAAGGTGACATAAGGAAAAGAAAGAGTGAGAGAAGGCAGAATAGGTCGTGGGAATTTAGTTTGTACGCTTATCCATTGACAGTTTGGTTTCAAGTTTTATGAGGATAAGCCATTGAGACACAAACCTTGCATTTCTGCATGATTGTCTAGCTTCCGCTTAAAAATCTCCAGAGAAGGCGCTGTAGTCACGGCCGCCGGTAAAGCGTTCCAGAGACGGCAAACACGAAGCGAAAAGAAATGTGATCGCACTCGAGTCTTTGGTCTCTGGTGTGCTATCCTTAGCGGGTTACCTCGTGGAAGCCTATAATCGCTTAATGGCAGGATGCTTTTATTTGGGTGGGCCTGGTCATTTAGGATCTTGTAGACGGTGATGAGGTCTCCCCTGTGCCTACGGTAACTGAGTGTGAAAAGACCTAATTTCTTTAGTCTTTCCTCATATGATTTGTTGCGGAGGCCGATCACCCATTTTGTCGCTCGTCTCTGGACACTTTCTAGAATGTTAGCATCCCTTTTGAGTAGCGGAGGTGCAATGATATTATGCACCTCAAGGTGTGGCCTCACATATGCCTTGTATAGCCTTAAGAACAGTTCGGGAGTGAGAGCTCCCAGCTGCCTGTGCATAAAGTGTAATGTTGCGTAGGCTTTGGCGACGTCCCTCGAGTAATTTCCACTGGTGTCTAGCTTTTCTGTTAGAATAAGACCTAGATCACGCTCTGATGGAACACAACTCAAGTTCTGGCCACCAAGGGTGTAATTTACACTCTGTGACCTGCCGGAATGAAGCTGCACTACTTTGCACTTCTTTAGATTGAAAGGCATTCCGTTAGCCAAAGCCCAATTTCCCAGAGTTTGCAGGTCAGCCTGCAATCTATCTGAGTCTTCCGATGAGTTTATTGCTCTCCAAATCTTTACGTCGTCAGCGTAAAGAAGCGCAGAGCAGTTTAGTTGGGGGGGCAGGTCATTGATAAAAATCAAAAACATCAACGGCCCTAGGATAGAACCCTGAGGAACCCCTGATGCCGAGGTGTGCCAAGATGATCGGATGCGGTTGACTTTGGTGCAGAATTCTCTCTCGCCTAAGTAATCTGTCAGCCATGCGAGAAGTGCTCCAGAAACTCCCGCCTTGCCTATTTTGTGAAGGAGCAGACCATGGTGAACTGTGTCGAATGCTTTCGCAAAGTCGAGAAAGATCACGTGGGCTGGTACCTTTTTGTCCCAGGTTAGTGTCCAATCGTTCCAGGCTAGTAGAAGATTCGTCACGCAGGATCTTCCCCTCCTGAAACCGTGCTGTGCTTCGTGAAGAAGGTTAGTCCCATCGAAGTATTTTCTCATGTGGTCGTCAATGAGACTTTCCAATATCTTCGATACCACTGGAAGTAGAGCAACTGGTCTGTAACTGGTCACATTCTGCCGGTCACCACCCTTGAAGATAGGGGATAGGATTGCACGTTTCCATTCACATGGAAGTTTCCCTACATCAAGGGAGTGTTGAAACAGATCACTTAGGGGTTGACAGAGACTTTCTGAACACTGCTTCAGGACAGATGGTCTGATGCCATCACAACCTGGAGACTTTCCCGAAGCCAACCGTCCCAATTTTGCAAGTACCATAGCCGGGGTAATTTGAAATGTCCCCAGCAGGTTTTCGTGTGTTGGTTCTGCGATGTAATCTGGATGTTCTGTAGGGGTAATATCCTCGTTACTATTTAGTTGCCTGTGAAAGGCTAGGCTGAATGTCTCTGCCATTTCAAGACTAGTAAGAGATTTCCCATCAGAACCCACTAGATTGCATGCTCCCTGGTTGGTCGGTTTTCTTTCGGCCATAAACCTGTATAGGCTTTTGGGGTTCACTAGAAGCTTATTGGCGAGGTCTCCCTGAAATGTCCTTCTATCGCTCCGGACTCGTATGTTACATCGATTCCTGAGTTCAAGGTACACTTCATATTCGGGTTGACTT